TACTCGGCCCTGCCTCTTTTCCTGAGTCCTTGTGAGGCTCTGTGGTCCTTTGTCCTGATGTCCCTGGAGTCCTTGGGCATGACCGGTCCTCTCCACAGTGCTTTTCACCAGCACTGAACGACTTAACCTATGCCTGCCTGCTTCATCCTCCTGACACTTTGACTGGTGCTTTGCTGGGAAGGCCAGCCAGGCAGAACAGTTGTTAAGCGTATGGGAAGGAATAATTTATCCTTCAAGCTTTAATCCTTGAGAAATAAGTTCTTTGGGGGGATTTTGCAGGAAAATGAAGGTTAGTGGCAAGTCTCCAAGCAGGCACTTATCAGAGTAATAGAGGAGAAGTTGATTAAACAGAATCACATGGTAGAAAATAAGCTGAGCACACGATGCCTTTAGTCTTACGCTCACGTTAGGTACGAGGCTCATAACCACCAGGACCTTTTCAGTCCCTGAGCCAGGAAGCAGGCAAACATTGCACAGACGACGTGATTGAAGAGCAATTCTGTGTCATTCCTTCAGCGGCAGCCAACGCTAAGCTCCTTTTTGCTATTTGGCCTGGAATAAGTCAGCATTGGCCTGGAAGATTGCTGGAGTAGAATAAAGCCCTAGCTTTGGGGAAGTGTGGACAGGACTGCCTGGAAGTACCCAGCTGGGTAAATGAAGGAGTGCAGCATCAACCCACAGTGCTCACGTATGTCAGGGAGCAACAAAGAACTGGCAAGTCACTGCTTGGTTTAACTGGAAGAGAACACAGAGTGCATTAGGAGTGCTGTGTACCCTTAGGAGAGAGAGTTAGGACCCCGAGTTGGGTCACCATGTGAGAGATCAGCATTTACTTCTCTCCATTGCCTCACACTTCTGTGGCATTTGCTAGTTTCCATACTGGCATCACCTGCTGTAGCTATAGACTGTAGTTACAGCTCTGAGGTGGTGGGAGGACAAACTCATGTAGATATCGTTCCCAGTGTTTCTTCAGTGGTGACCATGTAAGACTACAGCTAAATATTCTTTATGTACAGTGAGCCTGCAAGGATGTGCTGGAAAATCATCTTTAGTGTATCAACCATAAGCATATTAACTCAAATGAGTTTTTTCCATCTCATGCTCTCCTCCAGCAGAGTGCCTAAACCATGCTTGTGGTCATGTTACTTTAGAGCTGAGTGTGTACGCACGTGCTTTATATTACAGCAGTGTCACCGACCTGACAAATGCAGGCATCTGAGCTGAAACTGTGATGCTGTTGCTGTGTGCCACAAGGAATGGAGCACTAGAACAGAGGAAGGAGGGAGAAGGACTCAGTGTTTCTAGGTTACAGGCCAGGTCAGAATTATCTGGTGCTTTAGAGAGACCTCTGTTTTCTCTCTGCTCCAAACATCCCTGGGCAGTGGGGGAAGCAGGCTGTGCCTCAGCACAGGTGGTCCCCCTTCACAGGTCAGACAGCAGTTGGCCTGGGTGACAGTGAAATTAAGCTTACCTACCTGACATGCTGTGCACAGCTCTCAGGGTAGTGGCATGGGCAAGATTAGTAGAGTTCAGTAGGAAAGAGATGGTCCTTTCAAGGATGGAGTGACAGGGAAGAAAGATGCTCCTCTCTAAGCTGGTTGTTATGAGATCTCTACAGCTGCCTTGCAGGCATGAGGTGAAACAGAGCTCACCAATTTCTGAGGCTCCCCCTCACTGCAGCCAGGGCACTGAACTCCCTTGCACGTCCACCTGTGAGCTACATCCACATACACCTTTGCTCTGAGCTCTCCTGAAAGTACCAAAGGGACTTCCCATGTCTGAAGTGTTTTCTTAGAGCAAAAAGTCACTTTTCAGAGAAAGCTCAGCTCTGATGGGTGACAAAGATTAAAATAAATTATTTGGAAACAAAATTTCTCCCTTCCTCCATGTAATCCAGTAATTTTTGGTGCCTGCCTATGTGTCAGCAAACTCTGCACAGCCTCCTCTGGAAAGTCTCTGTCTCCTACCAACTCTCACAGCTAGCTGTGACTGTTCTCTGTCTTCTCTGGGTCCTCCACTCTACAAACCTGCCTCTGCTGCCCCTCTCTCTCCCTCGCTCTCTGCCTGCCCCGCTCTGCCCACAGGAGGTTTCTTCCAGCTGCTCCTTCCCTGAAAGCAACTTTTGCCACCCCACACACACCTCCACCGGAAAATCCTGCCCTGGCAAGGCAGCAGCAGGTCCCCGCTGCCTGGTGGTGCTCATGGGCGCTGGCACCTTCCACACCCACTGGGGAAATGGGCCTCTGCTCTCCTGCAGGGCAAGTGGGTTCCCTCTCGGGCCAGTGGGTTTGAGGTATTCCCCCCTGTAACGGAGGGACGCAAACCCCTCCCTGCCACGTACCTAAGCAGGCAGGGACCCGTGGCCACCCACACCTGGTGTCACTGCAGCAGCCTGCAGCCCAAGGAGGGGTCAGCATTATGGGCCCCAGCAGTGAACTTCCACCAGAAGACAGACTGTGAGGACACAAGTCAATTGTATTTTCAGTGGTGTCCTGTCTCTTGGTGAAGGGAGCAGCCACAGACAGGTCCCGCCCCGTCATTTCTATGCCTCTGCTTACTTGCTCTTCTCGTGACTCCTTCTCCCCTTGCCTGTGTGCTTTCTTGTCCGACTCCCTTGCTCTCACACACACACACGCAGAGCTTACCAAGCAAGCATGTAGCCTAGGCCTTGGTTTCTCTTCAAGGCGTTACTGTGTGTAGCTCCTTGCCTTGGGCAAGGACCACTTTATTCTCAGCTCTCACTACAGCAAGGGTTGTTTTCTCTTTCTGCTTGGTCTGAAAGCAGAGTGCAGAATCTACATGTGGCTTTTAGTCCCCTGGCTGTGACCTGATCACAGACCAACCTGACAGGCCATGGCATCTCTCATTAACAGCACTTTCTCACAGGAGCCCTTCGGCACTACCAGGAGCCCTGTTCCCTACTCAGTGACTGGCTCTCACATCATCTCATTCTCTCTTTCTTGACAGATCATGTTATAACCTATGATCACAGAAAGTCCTGATCCTCACGTTTCTCTGCTGTCACCTGTGGGCTCCTCCAGAGCCGTGAAGAAGGGGAAACTCCAGCCCCACCATGAGAAGACTGGGTGAGAAGTGCCTGTGACATCTTGGGGAGCAGCCACACTTTGAGAGCTAGTTTTAATTTTTATTTTTAGCAGTTATGAAGGACGTAAATAATGTTCACCATTCAGCGGTGATCCAGAGGAGCAGCTCTGCCATACCTCTCTGGGATTAGATTAGAGATAGTTTCATTAATGTGGGTAAAGTATGCTAATTTGGACCACTCTAAGCAAGGGCTGAATCAAGCTACCAGCGAGTTACCAAGATTGGCTTCCAGGCAATATGCTGCCTCAGACTTCTCCTCAGATGGAAGATGTCTGTTGTTACCTCACATGGTTAGATGCCTGAGGTGTCTTAGCCTTCAGAGAGTAACAAGCCTCTTCATTCCCCTCCTGGTCAAGGTGGCTGTGCTGCCTGAATGGTTGGCCATGTGTGGAGAACCCAGCTGCACTACAGAGCAAACAGTCTGGGCTGTAACTTACATGGTCCTGTCTTGCTGTACCACGACCTCTTCCTGGGTGTTCAACCTGATATTGGTTCTTGCCTGGCTTGTTATTAGAGACCATTGTCCCACCATCCCAGCTCTATGTTTCCCTTATGAATCTCAAGCTAACCCCATATCCCCTGCCCAATCTTATTCTCCTTTACGTATGGCACTCACTCGTTCCCTTTGCCTCTGGTTGCCAAGGGAGGAAGTGGACAGAGCTGTAGCAGACACTGATGTCTTGTGTGACTGCTGGCAAGTCCATGAGGCCTAAATCCTTAAGAGAAATTTGGAGTCTCTCCACTCAGTATAAAGATGCTCCTTCCACTTCTACGTCCTGCTGGCCCAAACTGAAATGTTGGGGTTTAATTCTCTGCATCACTCTGAACATGTGATTTAGTGACTTAGATTTCCCGAGCCTTACCATGCTGAACACAGATCATAGGAACAGCCTTGGAAACCACACCATCTCTTTCTGGGCCTCCGCTAAGCTGTCATGGGGGGTTGATCATTTGGTCCTGTTGCTAAGGGGTCAGGAGGGTGTGTCTGTGAGGTACCTTTGTCTCTGCACTGGAAAGGCCTTGGAAATGCTTGGCTCCCAGTCACTATATGCATCTTCCCTGTGAAAGGTAAATTAGAGCGTTAAGGGCTGCAGTGTGACTCTTAGGGACAAAACTGCCAGCAGTCAGCCGCCTTCTTCCTCCTCGGTACTTGAGCCTTCCAGGAGACCACACTGTCATGTCATCCTTTCCCACCCCCAGCTTCCTCCTTAGCCCACACACTCTTGTCTGCACCCCATTTGAGGGAAAGAACCTGACTATCTCTTGTAAACCTCCATCTCCTTAGTGCTGCTGTGTGAGTAAGCTGAGCCTGCAGCAAGCACTTCTGAGCATTCGTCACTAGAGCTGAGCAGTGTTATTGTGAGGGAGTTGCTGAGGGTAAGTAGGATAAACTTCTCCACATTCAGATGGGTAGTATAAGGCCACTCTTGGCTTGGCTAGAGATGGAAAAGATTCCTTGCCCCAAGCCCCACAGCTCATCTCCTAGTGATGCTGCTCTGTTTCTACCCAAGCTGTTGGTGTTTGGCTTCTGCGTTCCCTGGAAGCAGACCTGCTGTTGCATCCTGCGAGTCGTCACCAGGCTGCTTCAGTAACTCATCTTTCCTTCCATTCACAGGTCTTCTACGCATGGCAACTCAACCCATGTGAGAGCTCTCTTATGTGAGTACCCAGCAGCACACTTTGCTGTCTGTGGTCTGTGGACATTGACTGGCATCTAAGCGACATCCCAGCTCCCTCCTCTCCCCCTAGACGCCACTGTCTTAGAGCCTCCATGTGCATTTGCTATGACATACATCAGTGTTGATGAGAGACAGGAACACTGCCGGGTGATCTTGAGCTGCCAAAATAATCAGCTCTATGCACAACATGGCTTAAAGGATTTTTCGGTTAGCAGCATGCATCCACTAAAGAACATAGATACTCAGATTTTTTCTGGGGACTTCCACACTCTAGACTCCTGCCATACTCTAGACTCCTGCCACACGGGCAAGGCACCTTTGGCCAGTCCTGTGGAAAACCGGATGTATCGGAGCGTGGAGAACCTTCACTGGGCAACAGTTGCTGACTCGGGGCTGTATTCTCACTGCCGGAGCCTGGATAATGAGATCATCTTTCGCTATGGAGGCACCAGTCAGTGGACAGAAGGCTGTGTGGATATGCCCCCAGTACAGAGCACATCGGACTCCCTGAGAAACCTTTCTCTCCATACTAAACAGACATCTCGATCAGCACAGAATGTGCTTCTCCCTCCCTTTGCCAAAGTGCCTCAGTGGCTTTTCCCTTCTGCAGAGGAGAAAGCTCTACACAAGGATGCCAAGAAGGAGCTGAAGGAGAAACTGAGGCTGCACAGCAGTAAGGTGGCAGAGCCCTGCAAGCCAGTGCGTCCACAGGCAGCCCTGCCTGACCTGATGGCCCAGGAGTTTTTTGAATGCCAGATGTGCCGGCAGTACAAGAACGGTTGTGCTGTCAGCTGCTGCACAGTGTTGGTGGAACACACTGCTCTCAGGCACAGCCTCACAGGGAGGCAGAGACTGTGTTTGGCACACAGCATCATCAGCCCAGAAGACATCAAGCAGGAGGCTCAGAGGAGGCTTCAGCTCCGAAGGCAGAATAGCTCCCCCAATTTGCCCCTTCAGCATGCTGGGGAAAGCCGTGAGATGGCCAAATCCAGAACAGCAGAAACCCTGGAACAGTATAGTGGGGAAAGAGATGTCAAAGCGACATTGGGACAGAGCAAGAAAGGCCGCTGCAAAGGGAGGCTCTACATACCCACCTTTGAGGAATTCAAGCAAATGAGAAGTAAGGATGCAAATTCATCTGCCAGCAGCAGTGGGCCAGCAGAGTGCTTGAATAAGGGTCTGCCTGTGAACCAGACCCTGGAGGAGAACAATAAGAAAGTCTGTTCAGAAGCTCTGGGGACCAAAGCTGTGAATGAAGGTGCTGTCACAGCGGAGGATGACGACGATGTGTTCCATGAATACCACACCTCGACTGGCTTTTCCCAACATCCAGACACATGGGATGGTTTCAGAATGAGCAGCCCTGAGGTGAAGGACAGAACCGACCAGATCTCCAGCCTCAATAGATCCCTGGTCCCCATTTGCTCTAGCCCTATTCCACGATCACCTTTGCAGGCAGTAGCAACACACAGAGCTGGGCAGGAGATCTTCAGTGATGAGCAGCAGAAAGGAGAGACAAGACAATTAAATGATGTCCTCCACCTTGCAGGGCAGTCGCTGGCTTCTGAAGCACAGTCCTCTTGCTGTTCATCGCTGCTGTTAGAAGCCACAGATTTATCCAGCTATGGAGCTAAGCTACAAAAGATGAAGGATGAATTCATAGGTTCAGCCCTGGAACTTATTAAGAAAAGGTAACATGCTCTCTGGCATCATCTGAAAGCAGTTCCCTTGTTAACAATCTGGTCTCTCTCCTGATATGTACATTTAAGTCCTGTAGCATAAATATGCTGTTGGCAGAGCCTTTCATCTTAGGGTCTCTGATAGCCACATGAACGTGTCTTTAAGCTCTTGAGCTTAAACTCCATCTTCGCGTGGGATTAAATATCGAAAAGCATTTTCATCTAGACTTTGCCTTTTTGTACACCTTAATCCTGTCCAGACAGCAGCCATTAGTACTCCTAACACCCAATTTCCCACCCATTTTATTTCTGTACTAAATTGTTGAAAGGTCTTTTTTAAAAAAAAAAAAAAAAATCTGTTAAAAGTAGAGGACAGCAGCAGGATGCAAAGTACTAATATGATTCCTTTGAAAAAAGATGTAGAGTCTGTCCCACCACTGCAGGACATGAATTTAGGTAGTGTGACATGCAGCAACAAGTGCTTTCATTTGCTGCCTGCATGTAGTGAACTGGCAAACAAATGAGAGCAAGATGGCTGCTACGAGTCTTCAGCCACCCTCTGGAGACCAGCACAGGCAGCGAATGAAAAGTACCTGCAAATACTGTCCTTCTGCCAACTCGGACAGCATAAGCAGAGACAGAAAATACTTGTGTAAAGCCTTCCTTCCTCTTCTCCAGCCAGGGTTTTTCCCTTCTCTGGGTAAGGTGTTCACAAGGACTGCTTTCTCTGTCCTGGTTTTGGACACTGCAGTCCTGGTACCTCCCTCCTGCCAAAGAAATGGGGATCCCTTTCTCTGCAGGCAGGTTGCCAACAGGAATCAAAAAAGTTCTGGAAGCTAGGAATTTGGGGTAGTTATCACTGTCTTATCACTAGATAAAGCTGATGGGGAAAGGAGGAGTAAGTGTTGGTGGAGTGGTTTGTTTCCATGTGCTTGGCATTCAGGACTGGCTTTGCCAAGAATTGCATTTGACTCAGTTTCTGGCTGCTTCTGACATCCACAGATGCAGTGTGTGAAATGCCAGGGCATCAACCTTGTACGCTGACTTGCATTTCTGGAATGCTAGAGCTCTGAGACTGGGGACTCAGGTTTTAGAGGAGATGGTAGCGACTTCTGCACAGGAATGAGAGTCATCTGAAATAACAACTATGGAGCTGAAGCTCCTCATGTAAACAGAGCCGGAGCGACAAGCAGAAATACTTCTGCAACTTTATAATCCACAGGGAAGTAGGTGGTGTCAGAGGCCTAAATGCTTCCTTCAGCTGTCCAGCCCAGCCTTTGTGCTTTTGTTCTAGAGTATGAAAACCCAGTGAAGAAACAGATCAGAAAGTTATGGTAGGCTATTTTTATCACTGATGTGAAATGAAATACACAGAATGGCACAAGCCGTGAGTAAGAGCATAAGAACAGCTGTGTCTGAGCAGAGCAAAGGTTTGACTAGTATCTGGAGCCCGAGGTGCATGCATAGCAAAATATATGGGAACTGGGTAGTGTGTAGGATCTTTCTTCCTACTACTCTCCCAGCCTCCAAACACTTTCTGCCCAGGGCATTTATGGTTGCAGTGTGGTTTCTGTGCTTTTAATATCCACAGTGTTTTTTGTTTTTGTCAATATGTGTTCAGTCTCCCTAGTTGGATATGTTAAAATATAGGAGCTGATTTTATTAACACTGTGGTGAGTTGACCCGGGCTGGAGGCCAGGTGCCCCCCAGAGCTGCTCTGTCACTGCCCTCCTCAGCTGGGCAGGGGAGAGAAAATATAATGAAAGGCTCATGGGTTGAGATAAGGACAGGGAGATCACTCAGCAATTACTGTCATGGGCAAAACAGGCTTGACTTGGGGAAATTAGTTTAATTTATTACCAATCAAATCAGAGTAAGATAATGAGAAATAAAACCAATCTTAAAACCACCTCTCCCTACCTCTCCTTTCTTCCTGGGATTAACTTCACTCCTGATTTCTCTCCCTCCTCCCCCCGAGTGGTGCAGTGGGACGGGGAATGGGGGTTGTGGTCAGTTCATCACACGTTGTCTCTGCCGCTCCTTCCTCCTCAGGGGAGGACTCCTCACACTCTTCCCCTCCTCCAGCATGGAGTCCCTCCCCTGGGAGACAGTCCTCCACAAACTTCTCCCAACGTGAGTCCTTCCTACAGGCTGCAGTTCTTCATGAACTGCTCCAGTGTGGGACCCTTCCACGAGGTCCAGTCCTTCAGGAACAGGGTGCTCCAGCGTGGGTCCCCCATGGGGTCACAAGTCCTGCCAGCAAACCTGTTCTGGCATGGGTTCCTCTCTCCATGGAGCCAGGAGCCTGCTCCAGCATGGGGTCCTCCACAGGCTGCAGGTGGACTCTCTGCTCTACCATCAACCTCCATGGGCTGCAGGGGGACAGCCTGCCTCATCATGGTCTTCTCAGGGGCTGCAGGGGAATCTGTGCTCTGGTGCCTGGAGCACCTCCTCCCTGTCCTTCTTTTCTGACCTGGGTGTCTGCAGAGTTGTTCCTCTCACAACTCTTGCACGCTGCAATTGGTGTTGTGTGGGTGGTTTTTTCCCCTTCTTAAATACGTTACCCCAGAGGCACTACCGCTGTCACTGATGGGCTCGGCCTTGGCCAGTGGTGGGTCCATCTTGGGGCCCGCTGGCATTGGCTTGGCTCTTTTGGACACAGGAAGCTTCTGGCAGCTTCTCACAGAAGCTCATGTTAAGGACCCACCCTGGCTTGTTTATTTTCCATAGTGATAACAACTAATGGTAAAGGTTGTCATTTCTTCAGAATAGCAGGAGGAAGACAAATGTGTGCCTAAGTACTGGTTAGTGGGAAACTCTAGTTTCCTTTATCTGGAAATTTCTCAATTTTCCATCATTTTCACCTGAGACTGTAAAGTGCCTGAATATTCATTTATAGCTCAAGCTGATTCTCATTGCAGAGGTTGTGGATGTTTTGGGTCCTAAATTATGATTGCTGACATCCAGACAACATTTTTTCTGAGTGTCAAATGAAATGAGCTGAAAGCTGGGGATGTTGTCCCATTTCCACAGATACTGAGCTCAGCAATCCTTTGATACAGATGTTGTGATGGAGCATCACAGAATAAGACAGCTGAAATTGACTTCTCTTTCTAGTGTTTCTGTGTAAGTGTTACAGTTTTACAAAGCAGTTTTGTCTGGAAGGTTAATTACCTCCTTAGTAATTCATAGTTAAATTACTTAAGACTCATTCAAATGGCTTAATATTTCATCAGTGAAGATTTGATTTCCAGCTTAGCCTCATAGGTCACTGGATACCTTTAACTTAGGTTGTAGTTCTGGCAGTGAAGGGATGTTGAGATCTAGGTGGAAATCCTGTACACATTTCAATATATAGTCTACTTTCTGAACTTGTTTAAGCAGCGAATTGTTCAGGATAAGGAGATGCAAGAACCTGTCTGTGAAATGGGGGACAGGAGGACAAGGTGACAACAAACACCTGCACAAGGAAGCAAAGGACATGGCTAAGAAAGCAGGTTTCCTGAAAGGAGTGATGGGGCGTATTTGGGATGACACCGGGATGGTGGACATGAGCCAGCGGTGTACTCAGGTGGCCAATAGCGTCCTGGCTTGTATCAGAAATAGTGTGGCCAGCAGGACTAGGGAAGTGAAGTCTGTATGGTGGAAGGCAGTGTGATCAAGAGGAGAAGATAATAAATATTCCAGTTCTGAGCTCTGCCCCTGAGCCTGGGCACATCCTGTTGCCCCTCTGTGCCTCAACATGGTCCCTTCTCTCTGCATGTTTCAACCAGAAGCTGTTTGAGCAGGAGCAGCTTTTGGAAACAGTGGCTTTCCGGCAGTGGCAGATCGTGTTCAAGAGCTTTCTTGCTCCATAACCTCTGCCTTCCCTCCAAGTGTGCCGAGCTGAACTGTTCATACTTTACCCAACTCAATGAAACATTGAGGAAATGATCTGGCTGGGAATACATGAGGGAGGATATTTTTTTAAACCCAGATCATTTCAAGACTGATTTTAGATGGCTACACAGACAGTTACACTGGACTGGCAGAAGGAGTTGTACCCCAAATGTGGCTGGGGACAGGAGGGAGGAAGGAGACAGGAACCTCTTAAGCTGGACTGAGCCAGGACAGTACCATGGTAGGACCACAGCCTTGCTGTGTGCCTGCGCCGCTCTTACTGCAACTCTGCAAGGGGGATAATGCAATCCATACTGCAGACTGCTCCGTGACAGCGCTGATGTTGGGATCCCCTTTTACAGGCTGGGTAGAACAGGCCTGGAGAAATGAAGTGACACTTCCAAATCCACATGGCAGGGAGTTAGCACAGAAAAAAGTAAAAGCCAGGAGCCTGCTGTTAGCACTGTGCTGTTGCTGTGCAGCTGGGAATAAACTCTTTTTAAGCTGGTAAATCCTCTGGTAGTGTCAGTTGGGACCTGGAAGCATAAATGGAGGAAGATGAAAAAGCATCAGCTGAAAAGTTGCAAACCAACTTTTCTGGCCTGACAACAGAGCTAGTGTGTATTCTGGGAGATTTGTTCCCTCTTCAGCGATTTCAGTATTGGCTGATGGTTTGTTATTGGAGCCAACTGTCATTCATTGTAAGGAAAAATGCCCATCTGTCTCATGTGTTTGCTTGTAGCTGACAGTGTTGGAATTGCACCTTAGCACTATGACCTACCAGCATAAGTTCACAAGTGAAACCTTTAAGAAAAAGCAGATTTTTGTCATAGGAGACTTTTGTTAAGCATGAAATACATGCATAACCTGAAATATGTTCCAGACACTGGCTTCCTGTATGTCCAAGCATCCATATCTAGTCCTCAAAAACTTTCTTTTTGAAGGAATCCAAGCCCATAAAAATGAAGTAAATGCAAAAAGAAAAATTAATATTTTTCCAAGCTGGCTTCATTATTCATGGAAATAAGGTGTCTTAGAGAGTCTGTTAAAAAAAAAAAAAGTGTATATCACAAGTAGTATCACAAACTACTACTGTGATACTACATCAACTACTCCTAGTGGTTTTGTGCCATACTGTGTCCGTCTGGAGAGGTGATGTTGTCTACAGAGAGGGGAACATGGGGTTGGAACAGGCTGCCTGTATCAGCCAGACCTGGCCTCTGTTAGCATCAGACAGCTGTGAATAAGAGCATCCCAGCATTGCCAAGTGAGAACCCTGCCAGTCTTTTTGAGACTCTTAAGTGGACCAAAAGGCCTGATCCTGAGTTCACTGAAAGCAGAGGGAATCTTTCCAGTGATTTCAGCAGGCTTGGGATCATATGAGAAGAAAAACAGAGGGAAAGCTCCTTTAATCCTCTAATCTTTTCAAAGTATTATGGTTTTTAGCAGGTGATTTTCTACCAGATGAGCAATATGGTTTCTGTGTTGACAACATATCTTAAAATAGCAGCAAATATGGATATAGCCTACTTAGAAAGAGGTTTTTCTGGTCCCTATGGGAGAACCTCATGTTTTATGGACACAAAAATGCTCTGTGAACACCCGAGACTTGATATCCCAGACTGATGCTGGCATGAGTGCAATTACCCAATTTGCACTGCTATAATTGAGCTGTGTCTAGAGCCCCTGAAACACACGCACAGCCATCCATGCCGACCAGTCTAGACTCCTGCCTGCACTTTCCCTGAACTGTTGTGGCTGGTTGTTCAAAACAGGGCTTTCTGTTCAGTCTCATCTGTGTCAGGAACGGCAGGTGAACTGCATACATGATGTTTATCAGAGTCTGCTTCTTCCCCTGCAGCTGCAATGCCGAGACTGCTGCCAAATCCCCCTCCAAGGGGCGGTGTGATCTGAGGAAAGCTGATCTCCCACCTCCGGAGGACAGCCAGCAGCCCACAGCGATGTCCATGGCAACAGCGACCTGGGAGGACAAGCCAAGCAATGAGACATCCAGTGACACTCCGCCTGCAGGGAATGTAAGGGAGAGGAATTCCCCTCTCATCTTGGGCATGTGTTCAGGATTATTTTTCTCGTCTGAAGCTCTGAACGATCCCTTTGTTGTAGGAACTGGGCAGACTGGGAGCCTGGGATCTGAAATCAAACCAACTCCCATGAGTGATTAAACTCTAAGGACTTCTAGTGCCCTTTTTTTATTACAGTTAATGAAACAGGAGTCAGTTTTGTGCCCTTGCCTACCTGCCGCTGCATTTCTTGCAGGGAATTCAGCAATAACCCCTTCATGGCTTTCAGTGTGCCACCAGCCCCTCGCTGCTGCACTGCCTGGGAGACCAGACAGACTCCCTCCTAGTCCCCACTTGGTCAAATCGCTAATGTAGGTAAGGCATAGAGGCTGGAGTTCCTGACCCAGCAGCGCTGAATCATTCACAGAACAGAAGCGAGCTAGCTCAGACCCTGGAGGACAGGCTCAGCCCCCCCTTTAGGTCCTTAGCCAGGACTATGCTCTTGACTTCTTCATAGTTATGCCATGATCCAGCCACCATGGAGCCACTGAACTCAGAGCTACACCACAGCAGAGGGTGAGGGGTCCTTGCTGTTAGGACTAAACAAGACAGAGGGACCTGGGGGGGACAGATTTTCTAACAATCACGTAGCAGAGCTGCATTTACAATCCTAACACAGATGAGTTGCCTTTTCTCTCCTTTGGCAACTAAGGTCCAGTGGCTGCAAACCAGGCACTGCTTTGACCACAGCCTTGCTCCAAACCCACTTGCTTTTCTTGCAGACCCCCAGTCCCAGCTGCCGCCGATCCAGCTCCGACATCGTCCATGAGACCACGGATGGTGCCAAGGCCCAGCGGGAGTGCCGGCTGCGGCCGCACTTCAGTGACCCTATGCCGACAGACTCGGTGAAAAGGAAGCAGCTAGAGCTGAAGATTGCAGCTGCAGCACGGCAGCATGCACAGAAGCGCCGGCAGGAGCGAGACTACGGTATCCACATTGTGCACATTCAGAGGGGGTTGATGGGCCATGGGCTGAACCCTGGTGTAATATGGAGTGACTCTGCTCACCTGGGGGAGGGAAGCATTCTGGGTTTAACCCATTCTTGTGCAAGAAATCAGGATCTACTCTGCTGTGTCTCTGTCCCTGGCTGGCGGATGGCAGCAGGGGGAGAGGGAGGACCAAATGACTTCACTGGTATGGGCAGAGCAGGGATGACAGGTTTCACCTGGGAGCCATTTACTTGTGACCCCTGCCCTTCCCAGCAGCAAAACAGGAGGGGGGACAGCTAACAGCCTGGCTTTCACCAGATCTCCCCCACCAGGGTTCCTACCACTCATGGCTGTGCCAGGTTGGGCTCCTCAGAGAGCAAGAGCTCTGTGCCTCTGGCAGTGCTTGTAATGATCTGTGTCTGTTCTCAGGTCCAGTGGTAGCAAAAGCCAACCTTGGCCATGGTGGCAGCTTTGATGAGCCCCGCCGTGCTCCACGTGGCTCCCTCCGCTCCAGATATCATTGGAGCAATGTCAGCAGCCTGAGCACGGACAGTGGGATTGTTGGCGTGAACGATGTCCGGGATGACCCGGATCCCAGTGAGGCCACCCGGACCAAGTCAGCGGATGTGGAGAGGGCAGATAGTGGCATTGGCCAGATGCCAGCCAGAAAGTGGAGGACCAGGGCTTCTGAAACGCTGAGCTCCCTGCAGGCCTGGGAAGCCCACCGTCCCTGCACCGACTGTGGAGAAAGGGACCTCCCGGCAGAGACAGATGTGCAGAACTGCAATCAGAGGCGGGCTGACCTCTGCGAGAAGTGCCGCAAACGCAGGACGGAGCGCAAGGAGTCTGTGCTGGAGTTTGTCAACACGGAGGCCAGCTATGGAGAGGACCTGCGCATCATCAAAGAGGAGTTCTACCTCCCCATGCAGGCGGCTGGGCTGCTGAGCCAGGAACAGCTCCTGGGCATCTTCAGCAACATCCAGGAACTCATCGACCTCAACGAGAACTTCCTGGAGATACTCCAGGAAGAGATTGATCAGGCCTTTGATCAGGTATGATGCTGAGTGCTCTAAAGGGGCCAGACCGGGCAACCAGGAATAGGTTTTGTATTAGTGAAGCAGCATAGGTGGAGCAGAGGATCAGGAGGTAGGACTCCTGGGTTCTGGTCATCTACCTAGTCCCTTGTTCCCTCAGCTATTGTAAACCAGTGATTTCAGTAGGCCTGTGCCAAGCTGCTGGCGTCACTCTGCTGTGGTAGTGTCACTGACATTAGGATGCCATCAGCAGTCTAGCTCATTTATGCAATTAACAGGACCTAACTGCCCCTTTACCAAAGTTAACTTTAAGCCAGTTCACTTGGGCACTGATAAGATTGTGACCAGAGGGGCACAGAGCGCAGCTTGGTCTGGCTCACAGGCCACATGCTTGTGACCCTGAGCTGGCTTGCTTCAGGCTGGCTTGGGTGTATTTGCCTTGGGTTGCTGTTTATTGCAGCTGGCCTCTAGGCTGGCTGCGGGGCCAGGCAGCACAGGCTGCTCCCTGCTCTGGGGACAGCTGGGACTTAGGGCTCTGTATGCCAGTTGCTTCTACTGATGCACCCTGCCTTGCACAAGGGACTTTCCTACCACACCAGCATGGTGGTCAGAGGGCAGAGAAATAGAAATAAGACTCTAGAGGAGCAGTCACTGCAAAGGACAAATAAACAGCTTCAAGAAACCAAAACCCACTTGTTGCCATATCAGTTTCACCAGGATGTTTTGTTCTCTAGGAAACACATACATCCCTCTTCGAATCCCTGCGTGTCAGACTGAGTGACACATGTCTCAAAAACTGGCAATTTTGACAATCTCTTTCATGCACCTGGCACAGTGAAGACTGATGTGCACTGCGAGTGTGATGTCTCCTGTGAATAATTTATTGAGACAATGGCTTCTCCAAACAGCCGTGGGTTTCCTTACATCCATCTCCATGTTGCCCTTTGCAGTCAGAGCTCAGTACTGCACCAAAAAGCCACCAGCAGCCAAGGAGCTGCTCCCTCCCTCACTGCTCAAATGAGTAGTGATTGCAGAGCGTGTCAGCATACGCCTCGACACAGCTAAGAGCATTATGTGGCACCAGATTCTTACTATTCCCTTATTTTATTACACATCCAGAAATGAGACAATTTACCATGAAATTTATTTTTCACTTAGGCATCAAAGTAGCCAGTAAGAGCAGAACTGAAGGAGATTGCTTCCCAGCCAGACCAGTTGCTGAGAACAACTGCAGAAGTTGTTAAGTGCCATGTCTTGTTACCTGAGTTACAGGCTTCCTCTGCCTAGTTGCTCCTAAATGCTCTGTTAATTTATGCACTGCTGTATGAGCCTTCTGGCAGACCTGCCGGCAAGAAGAGCCCCAGTATGCTCTCTGACTGGCAGGTTCACTCTGGTCTTTGAGCCCCTGCTCTAGTGAGCTGACAGCCCACAGAAGCAGAGAAGACATCTCTTTATGTGTAGAAGAGGAAGCAGTTAGACCAGCTTTCCTTCCCCTCCCCACACACTAGGACCAGGACCTACAGGGACTGCCTTTCCACCAGGAAGGATGAGCCCCGTTCCACCTTTGGTGTCCTCCAGATCCTGCCGTAGGTTCATGCTGATAGGACTGAATGCAGGCTCCATGCTTGTGCTTCTCCTGAGCTAACCCAGCAGGGGCTGTATTGCATGCTTGCAGGGTGATGATGACCTGATGACCGTGTGCATCGGCGAAATATTTCTAGAGTTCGTCAACATGCTGCCAGCCTTTCAGACCTACTGTCTTCAGCAGTCCTCCTCCGTGAATATGCTCAACGCGCTGGAGAAGGAGAAAGAGTTGCTCAGGTGAGAAAAGCTCTGAGCGTATTCTTCCAGGCTGTGGGGACAGGAAGGCACCAGACTGAGGGCCAAGCCTTTGTCAGCTCAACTAGATGAAAGTTTTGATGCTAGTGTTCTTCACTGATGAGCTGCTCGCTCTTGGGGTGACAAGAGCAATTCACTCTCCAAAATACATTAACCACTTGCCGTCTCCACTGAGGCAGCCAGCTGGTCCCCAGCTGTATACTGTATTTTGTGGCACCAGTGTTTGTCCACTGACTGCTGGGCTGAACTGTCACCAAACAACACCCAGGTGAGAACAGCTCGCAGTCCCTGCACCATAACATGGTTTGGATTTCCACTGGGGAAGGCCACTGTGTGAAGCCTGCATGACTTGGATTTGTTTCCCTTTCCTAGGCCTGGCCTGTTGGGCAATGTCAGGCAGGTCACCTCTCTTTCCACTGCAACAGCTTAAATGATGACAGTACTGAATTCTTGTTTAGAGTGCTTTGTAATCTAATGATGAAAGGAGCTACAAATTAATATAATCTGATATCAACTGATGTATCTGCCTCAGGCCTACGTCAGTGTGTACCTGAGAAAGATCACACCCTCATTGTTTTATAATGATTTAATAGAAGACTGCCAGGATGTTCTGTGCTAGTGTTGCAGGCACCTCATCGCTGTTCTGCACCTGAGCACAGCTGCAGAAATTGTTGTTAGTTTTTGAGAAGACAGAATTCACAAGGCTGTTAAAACCAAAGCGGGGGTTGCAGTGCCCAGCAGCTCTCAGCACCACACTGTTCATTTGCATTTAGGATTGCAGCAGCTGCTGGCAGAACAGCCACCATTTCATTCCTTCTTCTTAAATCCCTGCAGAATATTCCTCAATGTCTCCCAGAATGACAACACAGCGCTGCGGCGGATGAACTTGAGGTCTTTCCTGATGGCTCCTTTGCAAAGAGTCACCAAGTACCCACTGCTGCTCAGCAGAATCATCAAGGCCACCACTGAGTACCACCCAGATCATGGCAGCCTGCGGGAGGCTAAGAGCCGCATTGAGTCCCACCTGGAACATATCAACATGAAAACCAAGCAGGAAGGGAACACGTGGACCCTCCGCTCCTTTCGCCAGGACAGCAAGAAAAAGAGGGAGGTCATCAACATTGAGATGAGAGAAACTGCCCTCAAAACTGTCGGTTGGCTGCGGGAAGAAACACGATTTGTGATGGAGGGGTCTCTGCAGCTGGCCCAGCCCCCTGATGGCCAGTGGGTGAAGAAAGGCAGCAAGACCCTGAAGTTCCAGAACATGCAAGTCCTCCTCCTGGTGAACATGAAGCGTGTGTCCGAGTCCAGCCTGGAGTCAGCTGAGCCAGGGCCTGTGAAGGACGCCGTGCTGGTACTCATCAGGGACAAAAATAACGGCAAGTTCCATTTGCTCAGGGAGCCCTTGAGGCTGAGTAATTGCATCGTCTCCACTGATCCTGACTGCGATGACACTTTTGAACTCATTGAGATCAGGCGGGAGGCATTTGTGTTCCGGGACAGTGACAGGGCACGGACTCACCACTGGTTCAGGCAGATCAGGCGATACTCGAGGGAGCTGGGCTCCTGGAAGAAGCGGCGGAATGCACTACCCAACATCATGATCAGCACCCCTCACACCAGGCCCTGAGTCCTGCACGGGCAGCACGCAGGGAGACTTGGCTTGGCCAGTGCCGTGTGCAGGAACCATCAAGAGCCCCAGTGGCTTGAACTTGCTCTGCTCCATGGACCACACAGGGAGGAGCCTGGCCCACGAAGACTCTTGGCAGCACTGGAACCAAGTATTACAGCCTAGTTCTGGTCTCTGGCCTCAGGACTCATAACTTGTTTGTGGCTGATGTACATACAGAGATGGGCTTCCCTTGAGGAGCAGATCTCTGGAGGAAAATACTGAGTTTAACTTGTCAATATTGCACTGTGGGAGAATGACGTATGATGCTTGCCATTGCATGGATTGTGTTGAAAGCCAGTCTTGACAACATGAGAGAGGTTTCCACCATTGACTGTATTTCATCAGCATTAGGTAAAGTCAGGGTCAAAATTAGGTGCAGTATTATGCAACAGGGGAGGAAAATTAGAGAAAATGATGTTTTTCACAACTACTCCTAAGGACTGTATTTCATTATTCACCTCTGTATATTCAGTCAAAATACTTGTTTAAAAAGGAAGGTCTTTCATCTTTAATCCAAATCAAGTAGATATCAATTTGCTCAGATTCAGCTGCATGCATACAGCAAAGAAAAAAAAAAAGCAGACAAGAATAAAAAGAGTTCTCGCTCTCTGACACATGCACCCCAAAGATGCGTAGAACCTGTGGAAGAGCAGTATATCCCCACTGAAAGTCTGTTAGTTAACTGACTTGGGGACTGGAACATAACTCTGCATCTGAAATATCTCAGAAGTGTATGTAAATATAGCTCCGCTACCACTAATAGTGAACTTAAAAGTTTGAGATTATTTAAATGATGTAATCTAGTGTATTTCAAAATTTAATTGAAAGGAACAATTTACATTGTACTGTAGAGTAACATAAAAGGTTTTAATAATTATGTTTCAATGACTTTAGGTGGGTATTCTTTTAAATACTTGTTTTCTGGAGTAGATATTTCATTTAGCATGGGTGACATTCAGGTGAACAATGTGCCTATGTCTGTTCTTTGGATCCCCTGAACAGAATTCAAGGGCTACTCCTAATGAGACTGGGAGAATGGTCCAAGCCTGGTACCTTACGTCTCACTAGACAACAATAGACTGGCATAAAACCTTACGCTCTGGCCGCAGTCCTGCCTGGGCAGGTCTGGCCCCAGCACACCAGACGCAAGAGCCGAAGCCAGGGCCACAAAAGCACTCTCCCATAAGGTCCAGCCTCTCTCGGCTCCGCAGCAGGGAAATGACTCGAAGCTGAACAATGGTGAAAAGGCAAACAGGGTTTAACCTTTTCAGCCTGACGTTACTGCTGCCTGTGGCCTTGCGATTACAAGATCAGCAAAATGTCACGCTGTGACTTACACAGCAAAGGCCAGATTACAGCCCTAGAGGCTGAATTAAAGGAGCCTGAATTTTGGTCAGTGGATCTCAGAGAGGACAACCTGTAAATGTTCTCTCAGATCCCAGGGTAAAGACAAAGCCAATCAGTATTATTCACTCCCCACAACATATTTCTGTTATAGGCATTTATTTTACAGGAGGTTTCATACAAGGAAGCATATTTGTGTATTTCTCCAGAGATCACCCAGTATCAGTGAGCACACAAACGAAAGTAGACAGAAGCTACGTTCACGTAGGTAGCCCTAGTCTTGTAAGTCACCACTGACCCAAGGCCTGAGCAGATGTCCAAACCATGCCCAGTGCTTCATCCTCCTGCCACAGCTGCTGGTGCTTGTTACACTGCTCCGGGCACCGAGGCGGACACCAGCAGTGGGATGTGTGCACACTGGCTGTATTCTATCTCTATCTGCACCATCCAGCACTCTAATGCTTCATTTTCTCCTTGAGGAAATGGGAATTGTTGCATCATCTGGAGGCTTTACAAACACGTACCCAAGACATGAGGGTGGCAGCACACAGCTGAGCAATAGCTGCCAACATGCTTGTTGGGGCAGCAGCAGCGAGTTGGAATTCCCTCCAGCTATTTCTAGTCGTTAGACAATAAATTGTTTGTTCCCCCAAAATATACACTGAACAGCCAGTAATGAGCACAAGGCATTGCTTTTATAAATTTGTTGCTTGTTTTTCAAATAGATGGATGTCTAAGCAGAGCAGCTGCTGGAGGAAGATTTCCCCAACGTTGTCATGACAGATCTGCACCTAACGGTCTTCAAGCCCCGTTCTCCAAACATGCAAAAAGCAACAGCTCGTAGCACCTTTGTTTTCTCTCCCACGATCAAAACAGCGCAGCTACCTTCTCTTCGTTACCTCCAGTGGCAGTTTTGATAAGGGAAGGCATAAGTACAGTAAGCCTAATAGCTTAATTTATCCAAACAGCAAGTGGCTTTCACAGCCACAGAAAGCTGCTGCTTTCTGGAACATTTTTGATTGCTTTCTAGCACAATGATTTTCTCCACACCAATTCATGCTCAAAACCAGCTGTGGACTGTTTGTACAGTCGTATCTTTAAATCAAGATACCTTCAGTCACCCTGGCTGTTCAAAAAGGTTAGAGAACAATAAGTATATGTAAAAGGTCTGATATTTAGCATCAATCTTGCATTTGGGTGATTGTTCAATTTGTCAGATTCAGGGTTTTTCTAGGTATCACAGGAAACACCTGCCTGCCAGGCTCCTGGTAATCATGGCCTGTTTCCTCTGAACCAGGCAAACTCTCCCCAAAATAAGGTCCATAAATAATTGCCGGGTGTTGAGCTGCGAGCAGGACATGTACTTGCTGCTGTAGCCCTGTCCTAAAAAAACCTGTGAGCCAGGGAACAGTACAGGCTCTTTGATCTGGGACAGCCTGCTACAGGAAGTGACAGCCTGATGGTTGAACCTGTCAAACTAGACAGGTTGTGCTTCCAGTGTTATTTATCTTTTACGTGTCTGGTGTGTACTTAGCTGCTCGCCTGCGTTTAAATTACAGGTGTTGAAAGGGAGCACAAGCACAGAACCATCTCTCCGGCCCCACAAGGGCTCGTGCTGTGGGGTGAGTCTGCATAGGAAGGGCAAGGAGTGGCAGCACACTGCCAAGGCAGCAGGTTTCTATAATCCCCAGGCACCTTTCAGAACTGGATGATCCCTCTTCTGGGAAGTTCGAGGTCTTTCAGTATCACATGTGCGCATCTTACTTGGCAGCCCTGGAGATTAGTTGTGCTGTATTTTTCCATTTCTAATTAACAAACCTTACAAAATGCTATTATAACCCAGGGTACTTGGGAACAGGGTTGTCTATAAGCCAAGAAAGCAATTATTTGTTCCAAACTGGCCGTCCCAAGGCTCCATAATGTTTTTATGCCTCTCAGAAGCCATGACTGACAATACTAAGATTACTTTTAAAGACTCCTGCCCCCTGAACTGACCCAGCTAGTACAAACAGACCATGTTAGGGGCAAAAAAAGAGAAAGTCAGATTACTCCGTTGATTTATCAGAACTCATAAATGACCTTTAAAAAGAATTTAGGATGAGTCTTACTGGCTATTTACCAGAAAAACTATCATAGAGTCCCTATAGTTTCAAGCTCACAAGATGACACAACACTGGATTAAGAGCCCCCTCTGAGAGCAGGTCCCAAAGAAAGAAGGAGTAGCTACTCTAAGAGTGAGCAGGCTGAGTGGGAAAGCTTGAAAAAAAAAAAACCAGGGAGATGAAGAATGAATACTTTAGAGGGCAGAGACTTCTGCTTTAGTAAATGGAGATCTTCCCTCCATGGTGTTCTCATACATTCCTGGTTGTCCTTAACAGAAGTGAGGATGAGGAAGGTGTGTTCAGCATGGGTCTCCGCTATGTGATCAAGAACACCTCTGAAAGGGAGCGTCAGCTTTGGTCTGACAGCAAGAACCTACTGTAGCTGTCACTGGAGACTGAGACTGACTTCACACATCCCAAATCCTGGAAGAAAGCTCAGAGATTCTCTCAGATCTCCTACCTTGGGGAACTTCAATCATTCAATGCACATGAATCTATTACAGAGATAAAGTCCCAGGAAGACAGATATCCAGCAGGAGATTCTGGTGAATCTTGCACTCTGTTGCTCGTCCCTGACATCCTCAAAGGGAAGATAATGCAAGTCTTCTAGCACCATGTCAAAGCTATCCCTTCAGGGCTCATGGATGAGGCAGCTGTAGTAACTCTCTTTTCATGATGCCATAATGTCAGCCATGTCTCCTTTTAAATGTATGCTGGGCAACCAGGTGAGATTAAGCTGGAATTAGGCTGACATTCTCTGACTTGAAATTGGAATCAAAAGCAGTGGAGGAAACTGTCCTCCTGATAGAGATCAGATAAAAGTTCAAAGATCTCACTGTCACTGTTGAGTGACTTTCTGTCACTACACTGGAATACAGTCTTACCAATCAGGCAGACAAACGAACTACCTTATTTCTCACAGAGGCTGCTGAATCTCAATATGATTAGAGACAGGTACAAGCAATTAAAAAAACCCCACAATGTTTTGACAGTAACACTGCACAGTCCAAGAACTCCAGGCAAGCTCCAAGGGCACTCATTAGAAAAAAAGACATCTCCCTGAGGAAGCTGAAGGTGGTCCCCTAAGGGAAACCTTTCTACAACATGGATGGAAAAGTTGAGCGGTAGAACATAGAGGGTCCTCTTCAACAGAGGGTGAGGAACCCTAATAAGGAATTAGAAGACAGGCAGAGCATCCTCCAGCACTGGTTTCTGCCCAGGCTTGACTGGGAGCAGTTGCACAGCTGGAAAAAGCTGAAAAACTGGCATTAGGCTCTAGGTCCTCTAGCAGGGATGAACATCATGATAATTTGCAACTCTCCAGCTCAAATCCTGCCCCAGTGTGATCTCCACCAGCAGAGGCTTTGCATCCCTGAGAAACTATCTCAGCCGCAGCTGAGAAGACCCACGCTGCAAAGAGCCCTCCCAGGGAAGGTGCCCTGCGTAGGAGCAGGCAAAGGAACCCTTTGTTTCACTGGCAGGTGGTTTTGAACCCTTCCCTCCAGTGCAGGA